GTATAGTTCAGTTGATGAAGGAACAAACAAGTCAGTCTACCTAATGAAAGCGCTTCCTCTTACCGATCTAAGATGAGCGTCGCTCTTAGGTAGCTAACGTAGTAAAGGCATTAAAGCTCTTAGATAGCTCGTAGAGACTCGCTCTTCGCTCGTTTGGTTATGACTCTGTCGCCGCTAGTAGTGATGGTGCAGCTCTATAGTTTTCTATAGTTTCAAAATAGCAGAGGCTAAAGGTAACCAATGAATGCTTATAGAATAAATAGATATGGGGAATGAACTGCTGTGGCTGCGTAACACGGAAAACAGTATCAAAAGCGATAGTTACCATAAACCACCGAACTGAATAAAGAACTGTTGAAGTTGTGCTCATCATTAGCCCGAACACCCGCTGCTCATCAAGAAACGATCATTTCGGTACAGTCACGGAGAGCTCTTTACCTCAGACGGAACCCTTTACTTATTTACTTACTTTAGACTACTTGGTAGGGACAATGACTTTCGGTACGGTTGAAGCTGGTTCCATGTGAACACCAATGGTTCATTAACATTAATACACGGTGTTCGATGGGCAGCAACAAGTAGTTCATTGGCACCATTATTTAAGCATTACCGAAGTGAGAGTAGAATCATGGCACTGTCGTAACATCATTGGCTATAAGAAATAGTATGTGAGCTAACAACCCATGCTCCATATTATATATATGAGTATATAACTATTGATCATAGTAGAACAATTAAGGTTGCCTTCTTAGATGCCTTAGACAAAGATCGCATTAGTTTAACTTCAAATAAGAGTTGTACCCCTTCCCTTTATCAATGCGTGGATTTTGGAACACTTTCTTGTCCACCAAAAAGCTACCCAGAACGAAAATGGGCTGGGGCATTATTCCTTAATTAAAAGAAAGATTCCGTCCGAGCGAAGAGCTATGCCTCATTCACATTATTAATGGAGTGCTATGCTTCTTGATTCTTAGTAAAGCAACGAGCTCTTAAATAAACGCGAACATAAAGCATAAAGAAAGTACGCCATCTTCAAGTGCCTTATGGGAATCGTCGAATCTATTTGGATTTGGTAGAGTAGTCTGCCGTGGGAAGAAAGCCTTACGACTTCTGGCGCCACTACTGATTGTTTCTTCTTCGATGATAATAGATGCCCCAGTTAAACGTATAGTTCCACCTGTGTCCATGAGAGATAAAACATGGATCGACATTTCTCATTAGGTTCATCAGGGCTGAGACTAGACTCTTCTATTTTTCCCAATACAATATGGCAATGGCATCGGTTTAGATATCCTGCTTTTTTTCTTTTGTTACGATCTGCCACCGGCCGATAGTACCATACCCCAATCCTAGGAAAAGTGCCTTAAAGAGGGAGGATTTGGCAAAAGTATTAAGCACTATTACGCGTAAGTAGGACCAAAGAATAGTGAAAACACAGTGTATATCACTGATTTGGTTCTTTTACGCGCAGCCTGTTAATACGGTCACCAGCACCATCCATTGGAATGACACTCATTGCCCAATCATGGACTGGTCTTTGCTTCATGTAATTACATATAGCAAGTTTACCGGCTCCAGGAAATTGCTGAAACAACCTACCTGTATATAAAGGTATTCCTTCATAGGCCGAATGAGTGTAACATAGGTAACATAGTGAAACGAATCTCTGTTCTATAGCTACTTCGTACCTATTTCGTTACACTCATTTGAAACTCATTCACTCANCGGAATGGATCGGTTAAACATTCCATTAGGGAGCCTGGTCTTGACTCTTCTGTGTGGTATTCATTCTCGTTTGGCTCTTGGAATCACATCCAGCAGTGGTTGGAACAGCTCGAAAAATTTAACCACTTCACCTACTTCATTGCCCTCAACCGTTTCTCGTACCTCTATTGAAACAGAATGGTTTCATGTTCTTTCATCGATTGGTTATTCCTCTCCGTTCGTATCTCTTTTTCCAATTATTAGTTCACACTCGATTAGTTCACAAGATTGAATGTCCTCATTCGATTGTTTTCCAACCGGGTATGTAAGCCATGTATCTGGGAGGAACTTAAATAAAAGAAGAAACGAACGGAACGTAGAACTTAGAAAAACCCAGCCCTGCTATCCCGATTATGAGAACTTCCCTTGGCCCTATCGAAGGTACAGAGATTCCTCTAGAGAAACAGAGAACAGAGATTCGTTTCACTATGTGAAACTCATTTCGTTGAACGTAGTTAGAAAACTCATTTAGTTCAACGAACAACGAATAGTGAAACTCATTTGAAACGAATCCCTAGAAAAATAAAAGATACGTATAGTCCTATGGTATGGGTAGTCTCCCGCATAAAAGAGCATTTAAGTATCATTAAGTCCCAATTGGGTTCTGCCTTTGCTACCGACGGGCTATTCCCTTCTCAATATAAAGAATTGAATACAAAAGAGAATTGTCCACTACCCCACTTCCTCTCTAAAGGGAGTGAAGTTCCCCGAGGATGAACAAGCAAGACTACAAGGCTACTTCCCCGCCTATCAATGTCGCATCATAGTGTGCTTGCCGCAGCATAAGATGGATGGACGTACCAATTCGTCTCTGCGGGTCTATGAGACTGTATGGCGACGGTATTGGGTATGGCCTGGTGGCAGGCGTGAAGGATAGGGTATTGATGCGAGGATGAAAAAATGACTCCACGTGTTTTTTTATTTATTATATTATATAGTTATATAGCCTTACACATCCACAATGAAAAAGATATCCTAACACCCGGGATGGTGCTACCCTTCTCCCCTATCCGGAAACTCATCCAATGAAAGCCCAGAGACTGTACTGAGACATGCGGAGGGGGTCGGTGCGTGCAGACGTCGGTCCTATCCTCATCGCTAGCCTGGGGATTCTGGCAATATCAAGCATAAACGTAATCTCTTCCGTAAAGTCGAGCAAACAGCTGTACGCCTACCTCCCAGACCAAGATAGTTCTAGACCCCTTTTGTGAAACCAGTTCCTGTACTCTTGTTTCATTGTTGACTGAAGTAAAGTAATCTGGTGGGTCCCGAATCCCGGGGATCCAAAATATGACGTGAACCCTATTCCGAACATTCTTTTATTCTCCATCTCGGTCTTTTATTTGTTGCTGGTAAATTTAATTCCTTATTCGTCGGGCCCTTTCTATTGTACCTATTGTACTATTGTAGGATTATTCGCCGGGTTGTTGGCTATATCCGCAAATACCTCAACGAGTCGTGCTTTACTCTTTCCTACTACCAGCTCGAAGACCCGACGATGTTTACTGGCCGGTCCATATCCGATTGAAAGTAATCCATGATTATTCGGCGAATAGCCCAATAACCATGGGGTTTATTGTAAGGTTCCACGGTGTCATCCACAGGTGCTTGTATGGGCTGCTCCACCTCAACATCACTTGCTATGGACGGGACAGATGGAACCGAGTCCGCGGGCAAGGGTGGCAGGTCCGAAGGGACCGAATTCCACGGGGACGGCCCAGGATTAGAAGGGTCCACCCGACCCAAGCGCCCATAAACACTGTCAACACATCAGAGAATAAATAACCAATATGCGAAACTACATAGATACGGATACAATAGCAAAAGAGTGAGGAAGGGAAATATACATAATACATACAACTCGAGAGCCATACTTTCTATTCAAATGAAAATAATAAAGACGAAACAGAAAGATAAGGCCTAAAAGAACGAGATTGATTCTTCCTTCTGATCCTAGAAAACGCAGCTCAGTATATAACGAATGATAGTCTTTGGGAACCGTCGTTTCCTATACTCTGTAGCTTGATCTGCCATTGTTAGAAAACCCTATCTCTATCTTTCAGCAACTGAACGTACCTTTCAGTCGAATGAGTTTTCTAACTACGTTCAACGAAATTCGTTGTTCGTTGTTTCACATAGTGTTGAACTATGTTCAACGAACATAGTGAAACGAATCTCTGTTCTCTGTTCTCTTCTTTTCGTTCGTTGTTCTCTAGCTAGATCAGTGGCATTCAATTTTTTCTAAGTACATTATCGGGCCGGCTCATCAAAGCATTTGATTTAGATCTTTCCAGTGCCAGTTTATGGGGCTAAGGAAGGAGAAGGATCGGGTCGAACACCCATTTCTATCGAATCATATCATAATCATTACCATTTTTTATTATTTGAAATATGTTTGCCTTAAGCCAGTAATTGAATAAGACAAGATGAATCTTCATTTTATAGTTGGTAAGATTTATGAAAGGCTTTACACGTTTATTATAATATTATAAATATTATACGAGAACGAATCTGGCTTGACTTCCTTCTGTTTGTTACCATGTTTTCTAATAAGAAAAAGTATCCTAACGTAAGAAAAGATACGTATCTTCATTTGGTTTAGAATTTTTCGGGAATTCATTGATAATGACTTTGCCAGGTTCTAGGGGGCTACTCTTCTCGAGCCGCTCCCCCTCATTCCACTCGTCCAGCCTTCTTCACGAACTTGTACAATCGATGCCACAAAGATAGCCAACTCTATTATCAAAGAAATAAGGAAACGGGCGACAATTTGGCACCAGATATCCGGAGGTGTGGAAAGAGCAGCTGTGAGAAGCGGAAAAACCATCAAAAAACGACGATTGTTCGTGGAGGTTTCTACAGAAAGACCCCTTGGTTCTGACAAACGGATCACAATTACAGGTACCTGGGAGCATACCGATGGAATGAACGAAATACGAACAGTGAACATAATATGGTCATAGATCTTAGGTTGTAGCTTGATCATGAGCGAATTTGTTGATGTTGCACCCATGAAGTATGGAAAGTGCCAAACATTGGGAACTACCCGGGGAGGAGTTAGGAACAGGAACAAGAAGAAGCGAGAACCACTTAAATGGAGGAATCTATTGTATTTCGTCCTTTGTTCCCCATAGAAACTGGGGATCAAAAAGCACCAAATTTGATGACTTATTAAGGGAAAGACGAAGTAAGAGCATGCTATTGGAGACGTTGCAACATATGTCGGGAAGGCCTCCGTTGATTGTGTACGAACAAAATACGAATCCAAAGGCAGGGTAAGAAGGGGTTTAGCTAATGGAGATATGAACTCTTCCGGGAACCAGTAACACGTAAACCATGTAAAACCAAGACCAATCAATATCCGAACGGAACGGATTCGAACTTCTCCTAGAATAGTTTCCGATGCGAAATTCAATTCATATCAGTAATTCAAAAGATAAATATAAAGATTTGATATGATTAAAAATATGTATCACAATTGAATCACTACATCATTGTCCGTCGAGCTAATCTATTTCATAAACACAATCTCCCTATAGGCTTAAGACTGCCTAGCCCCCCTTTATAAATATATAAATATAGAATGATAAAATAGAAAGAATAGAATAATCAAACTCCCTCCCTTGCTGTTACTGACTAATGGATTGACCCAAGCGGATAAAAAATTAGGTTCAAAGAAATAATAAATAAATAATGTATTACTTTCACTTTCCTTACTGCGAATCGCATACGCCCAGCCCGGGACTTTATTCGATTCTTTTTCGAAAAAGTCTCCTAACACTATGATTGGCCATCTAAATGAGTTGAACTATGTTAAACGAATAGTTACACTCTAGCAACTTCGTACCTATTCCTAACCACAGATCTATGGGTCTTACCTTACGTCGCACAGCCTTTCCCATCGTTGGACATTAGGCGTGAACGGACTCTATAGCCTGCGCCCGCAAAACGTTCATACTAGAAATTTCACCTACGACACACAGACCAATTGAGCTGTTCACTCCGGTTAGGGCCCTTACGGAAATAGGGGTCAATTCCTTTAACCCAAAATCGCTTAGCAAACTCAATGCATCCAGTATGTGATGTAATTGACTTACTATCAGATATCTGAACGCCCAGCTTACTAAGGATCTCCCGGTAATGCGACGCAACGTTACCATCAGTGATGAGAACATCATCACCGAGGATAGCGTAGGGGTCACCCTGTTCGGGTACGCCATTTTAGCCGACAAAGTGNAAAAGTATTAAGCACTATTACGCGTAAGTAGGACCAAAGAATAGTGAAAACACAGTGTATATCACTGATTTGGTTCTTTTACGCGCAGCCTGTTAATACGGTCACCAGCACCATCCATTGGAATGACACTCATTGCCCAATCATGGACTGGTCTTTGCTTCATGTAATTACATATAGCAAGTTTACCGGCTCCAGGAAATTGCTGAAACAACCTACCTGTATATAAAGGTATTCCTTCATAGGCCGAATGAGTGTAACATAGGTAACATAGTGAAACGAATCTCTGTTCTATAGCTACTTCGTACCTATTTCGTTACACTCATTTGAAACTCATTCACTCAAACCTACGTATCTTTTCGTTCGTTCCCCGCTGGCGGAAATAGCTTAATGGTAGAGCATAGCCTTGCCAAGGCTGAGGTTGAGGGTTCAAGTCCCTCCTTCCGCTCCTCTCCCCTCTTCGAGGTACGAAGTCACTAGAGAATTCGTTTATCAACTCATTCCCGTTCAGTTGCTGAAAGATAGATAGAAATAAGGCTTTCTAAATGAGATTGAGTTCGCAGGCTAGAAAGATGCTATTTGCTGCTATTTTATCTATTTGTGCATCAAGTTCGAAGAAAATATTAATTTATAATGAAGAAATGATAGTAGCTCGTTGTTTTATAGGCTTTATCATATTCAGTCGGAAGAGTTTAGGTAATACTTTCAAAGTGACTCTCGACGAGAGAATCCAGGCTATTCAGGAAGAATCGCAGCAATTCCCCAATCCTAACGAAGTAGTTCTTCCGGAATCCAATGAACAACAACGATTACTTAGGAACAGCTTGCGAATTTGTGGCACCGTAGTCGAATCATTACCAATGGCACGCTGTGCGCCTAAGTGCGAAAAGACAGTGCAAGCTTTGTTATGTCGAAACCTAAATGTGAAGTCAGCAACACTTCCAAATGCCACTTATTCCCGTCGCATCCGTCTTCAGGACGATCTAGCCAGAAGGTTTCACGTCTTAGTGGGGAAAAGATTTAGCCCCTGGTGTATCTCGAAAGCAGAAAGAGTAGAACTCATTCGAGAGAGCTTGGTGGTCTTAAGAATGGTTCGGGTGGGGGATTCTTCTAAAATGACGTAGTCGCTTTGAAGATTCGTTTCAAATAGTTCAACTCATTCAGATCATGAGCCTAATGAGTTGACCATTACTCTACCCCGCTTCGAACTCAAAAAGCTCCCGTCATCAAGGCTTACTGGGTCTAGTCTAAGCCACCAACAGCTGATATGCGACATCTCTCTTACTTACGATATTTCGATCGAGCTCTCTGCAGCTACTATGCGCCTGACGGTGGGAATATACGTCTGAAAATGATAGGGTGATGGTATAGGTTCACATCCAATTCCAGAGCCAGATGCTTTATTCATTGACCAAGGCACGACACCTATTCAGATGAGGTCTCGCAGGATCTCATCGCTCAAGTCCTCCGACAGCCCTGTGTAAGCTGCGAGCGGTTCATACTATGACTTAGAAGCCCGGTGTAACAAACAAGAGGATAATCATTCAATTCCTCTCCCGTTGGTCGAGGTACGAAGTCGCTAGAGAATTCGTTGAACTATGTTCAACTCATTTGAAAGAGGTACGACCAAAGGGAGTCACTCGACCTATGGGAGAGGTACGACCAAAGGGAGTCACTCGACCTATGGGAGAGGTACGACCAAAGGGAGTCACTCGACCTATGGGAG